CTGTGCCAGAATTGACCATCTATGTCTGTTCCGAGTATAATTGCTACCCTTTCCCCTCAGTAAAAAGACAGTTAACTTTCCTGGGAGTGAGGCTGAAGGTCGACACGGGCCCTGGTGTGCCAAGGGCCCACCCCACCTGCCTGCCTCAGTGTCCCCACCGCGTGGGGGTGTCACGCTGAGGGGGGACCTCAGGAGGGCGCCACACACGGGCAGAGCCCCATCCTGTCTCCTCTGAACTGTCATTTCCGTCTCCTGTCAGGGCAGTGAGGACATAAAGGCTCCTGAAGCCTTGACTTTGGTAACAGGCCAGGCCAGTGCTGAGGCCGGGCTGTGAACCTGCAGCAGGGCAGACGGGAGGAGCATGGCTGGGGAGCCATCGCTGTCTCCCCTCTCAGACCTCCACCTCCTGTGGGCTGGCCACCTGCAGGGAGCCGGCCAGGCCACTCCCCCCCCCCCCCCCTCACAGCCAGCAGAACAGAACGTGGGGGTGGAAGTGAGCTGTCTGGATGCTGGGCCCGGCTCAGCTGTGCCAACTCACACCCCCTCTCTGTGCCGTAGTTTCCCCAGGTCATGAGGTGCCCCCTCCTGCCAGGCTGCCTACCTTGCTCTTAACCCCAAACAGCCGGTGACGGTAAAAGTGTCCCTGGTCTTTCTGGGTCAAGGTGGTGAACTGAACCCAACTCGGAAGCCTACTGAAACTACACAGGAGCGTGTTTAAGACAAACTCTGAGGATGAGGATGGGGAAGGAGCCCATAGCAGGGGCATTCTGCACCTAAGTGGAAACGGTGAGAGAGTCGTTTCTGGGGGATCCCCACTCCCTAAGAAAAGACCTAAGCCCCCCACAAAACAGCCCCATCTCATGATGCTGCTGGGAAGAGCTGACAAGCCCAGCCATGCACACGCTCAGAGCTCCCCTCCAGTCGGTGATGAAGAAAGACCACAGCTCTTTATCTCGAGCTGGCAGCCTGGGGTTCCTCGGCCTCAGAAGAAACCAGACAGACAGGTAGATGCATTTTGGGATTGAATAGGTCGTGTTCCAGCCACTTGATGTGTGGAAGCAAAATTGGCCTCACCCCGGTCAGATTTTAAAAACGAGTACATTGCCTACTGAGATAAACTAAAAATAAAGGTCAGCTTACTAGTTCTGGCCCCCAAAGTAAGGAAGAGGCAGAGCACGCCCCATAAGCCTGGACAACCTCCGCATCCTTCACCTTGCAGTACAGTTCTGCTATCTGGAGGTGTGTCAGACTCGGGATGTAAATCATGGGGCAGTTTCCTCCTCGGCAAACGTGCCCATCGGGGGAGGGCGTCCCGCGGAGGTGGAGTGAGGGACCAGCACCCTCCTCGCTGGAGAAAGCCACGGGTCAGGAGGGCCGTGCTAGCCGGACCGGCTTCCTTGTGCGACCACCCGGAGACGAGTCTCTGCAGAACTAGTACACGACCCGGGCCTCCGCGCTGGGCGGGACGACGCTCCCGCTGTTGCCTTAGAAACTGCTGCTGGCGCGCGGACGCTGGAACGCCGTTACCAAGGCGACGACTCGGCGACCAGAAACGAGCCTCTTGCAGCGCGCTGGGGGTGGGGCCTGCGCAGTGGGCCAGCTCTGATTGGTCGAAAGGGCAGGTCTCTCACCTCGCTTAGCCAATAGGATCCCTGTCCGTTTTGCACATGCGCAGGATTTTAACGGCCCATCTAGGCAGCTGGTGAGTTCTAAGACCCGGATACAAAAAGGACGGCCGCCAGTGAGGGAGGGGAGTCCCGCGAACTGAGCTGCTCTGCAGACTCCTCTCCCCGAGGACGGGAGCAGTTCGCAGGCGTAAAAAGCCTCTGACAATGAGCCTCCGCCAGCGGACGCCGCGCCCGTCCTTGCTTACGGAGGCTCATGGGAAATGTAGTCCATAAGGAGGTTGGTCCCTTCGGAGCAGGGGCCTGATTGGCCACAGCGACGTCACCAGGGCAACGAACGGGCGGGGCGTGGCCTTCAGCAAAAGGTAGGCGGGGCGTCGCGGTGCCGTTGACCGGAAGCGGCCTCCAGCGCCGGCGCGGTGGCGGCGGTGAGCGCGGGGGGCTGGGCTGCGCGCGGTTTCCCCACCTCCCGGGACCCGGCCCCTCCTCCCTGCGCTCGGGGGCGCCGCCGACCTCCCGCGCCTGTCCCGCCTCCTCCGGGAAGACCGCCTCCCATTTGCGGGAGACGAGCCCCGGAGGCTGGTCCCCGGGCCGGGCAGCCCCCGAGGTGGGCGAGTTTCTCAGTGTCCGGCTCGCGGCTCCGCGCTGCCCGGGGCTCCGTTCACACGCTCGGTCCAGGCTGCGCGCGGCGTACTCAGCGCGTTGTGGTCGGCGAGCACGGAGCCCCGCAGTCCAGCCTCGACCCCGGGCGCCGCGGGGGCCCCCCTGTACCCCGCCCCGCAGGACGCCCGCCTCCCCCCACGGGCCCTTCCCCTCCGACCCCGACCCCCTCCCGGTCCCGCTTCTCGGCTGCACCGCCTGACCCGGGACCGACCTCTCTCCGGCCCGTTGTCCCCAAAGGCTGGCGCTTTCCTGGATGCTCCACTGGGCAACCTGCTCCAAGCTCGTGGCCCGGGGTCGGCGCCCTGACCCTCCGTCTCTGCAGGTCCCTCTCGGCGGCTCCAGGAAGGCTCCCGGCGCGATCATGCCGTCCCCGCTGGGCCCCCCGCGCCCGCCCTCCGTGCGCCCCGCAGCCGCCCCGGAGGACCCCGAGGCCGCGCGCCTGCGCTTCCGGGGGTTCCGCTACCGGGAGGTGGCGGGTCCCCGGGAGGCCCTGGCTCAGCTCCGCGGGCTGTGCCGCCAGTGGCTGCGGCCCGAGTTGCACTCCAAGGAGCAGCTGCTGGAGCTGCTGGTGCTCGAGCAGTTCCTGGGCGCGCTGCCCCCCGAGATCCAGGCCTGGGTGCAGGGCCAGGGGCCGGGCAGCCCCGAGGAGGCCGCCGCCCTGGTGGAGGGGCTGCAGCGGGACCCCGGGCAGCTGCTGGGCTGGGTGAGTGTGGCCGGCCGGCCTCGTGGAGGGACAGACAGACGGAGGGAGACGGGAGCCCCCGGTGACCGGCCTCTCCCCTCAGATCACAGCCCAGGTCCTGAAGCGGGCGGTGCCCCCGGCGGCACAGAAGGCAGAGGACTCCCTGGCGAGTCTCCGCTCCTCAGAGAGAGGACAGCCCCTCAGGGCAGCCGCTGGGGAGGAGGGGCCGGAGGGTGCCCAGCTCGGGGGCTGCCGTGTGAAGAAGGAGCCTGAGGCCGAGGCGCAGGAGATGGGTGAGCGTGGGGGCTCCTGGCGGGAGTGTGGGCAGCCACAGCTGGGTGGGGACCCCGAGAGGCTGCAGAGCCGGCCCCCGAGAGGCAGGAGGATGGCTGTGTGCCCTGTGCCTGCTGGCGGAGGAGGGCGACAGCTGCAGATCAGGGGGCAGCCCTGACCCCCATCGGCCTCACTTCCTAGCCTCCACCAGCCCCCCAAATGCGGTCCAGTCCCAAGAGGGGCCAGTGGCACCTGGGGAACCGGACGCGGCCTCCTTCCACCCGCCCAGGATGCAGGTGAGCAGCCCCAGGTTTTCCAGGCTCCTTGGTCAGCCATGGTGGGCTCTTTGCTGCCCAGATTGGAGTCGGGATCAGATCTCCCTGCAGGACAGAGGGACAGACTGGTGTCTCTGCAGTTGGGGGGGTTTTAGAAACGTGGCTCAGAGTGATGGGAAGGTTCGGGGCTGGCCTCCTCACGGAGCAGTCAGTGGGGGGTTGCGGCCCGGGGATTTGCACCCCCGTGTGCAGGGGGGAGGGACAGCCCTGCCTCCCAGCCCCTCAGAGGTCAGTGGGAGGTTCCCCTGGGAACTGCCTGCAGCCCCTCTCTCCGCCGGTGTGGGGGCTCAGCGGGCCCTGCTGCCTGGAGTGTTTGCTCTGAGTGTGGGCAGCAGGCCCTGTCCGCGCCCCCTCCCTCCCCCCCTGCAACTTGCTCCTCAGCCGCTCCCCTCCACGTGCAGTGGAAGGACCAGCTCAGATGAGCTTGGAAGCTCCCTCCAGCCTGATGGCGCCGTAGGAAAGCGAGGCGGTGGCAGAGGCAGAGTTCAGGTCCTCACCTCCAGCCAGCACTGTCCCCACTGCGGCCCCCGTGGCTGCGGCCTGCCCTGTCACCACTATTTTTCCTCAGCCCAGCAAAGCCCCTCCCAGCGATGGGACTCTGGGAGCTGATAAGGGGACACCCCATGGGCCAGGAGTGCGTCCGGGGGTGGGAGGAACCCCAAAGCGCGCCTCTGTGCACACAGAGGACACAGCCCACCGCCCCGCCCATGCACGTCACCTGCACCTGCATCACGGCTCCCCCGGGTGCGGCTGCACCTTCTGTCCGAGCCCCCCTCAGCCAGGCGCCCACATCCGGTTGCCGTGACCCTGCACAGCTGTCCCGAGGAGGGTCTCCAGGGGAAGAGAAGAGGTGTCTGGAGGCCCCGGAGGCCCCTGGTTTTCTGCTTGGGGACACATGCTCAAGGCACAGGGTGGAGCGGGCTGGGCTGTCCCTGCCTCCCCACAGCCCAGGGGTCCTGAGCTCCGTCTGTCCGGCCAGAAGTGGGTGGGGCCGCTCCCTCCCTGTCCGGCTTCCCAGCCCTCACACCCCATCTCGGAGTCATCTGAGACTGTGATGGGGCGGGGGTCGCCGATGGAGCCTCGCAGTGACGGCCAACTCCGGGCAGGAGGAGTGGGTGCTGCTGGACCCGTCGCAGAAGGAGCTGTATTGGGACGCGATGCTGGAGAAGTACGGCTCCGTGGTCTCCCAGGGTGAGGACGGCGCCCACCCCCCGCTGCCGCACCCCGCGCGCCCCCAGCTGCCTGAACCCTGCGCGCCCCCCCACCCCCAGCTGCCCTGCACCCCGCCTCCCTGCGCGCCCCCAGCTGCCTGCACCCCGCCTTCTCTCCTCCTTCCCGAGGGGCGCCCCGGCCCCGCCCCACCCCGCCCCTCGGGGGAGCTGGGCTCTCACCCGCCCCGGCTCCCATCAGGGTTACCGCCTCCCCTGCCGGACCCGCGGGCCGAGTTGGAGCCGGGCTTGGAGCCGGGGTCGCCGAGCGCGGGGGCCGAGGGCCCGGGAAGCCTCCGCACGGGTGAGCGCAGTCCCGCCCCTGAGATGTGGGCACCAGACCCGACCCGGGCGGGCGGTGGCTGGTGTGGCGCCCACGCAGGGGGCCCAGGGGGAACGGGAACCGACGTCCCAGCGCCGGGGCCACCGGTGCCCGCCCGTCCTTCCCAGGAGCTGAGCGCGAGGACCCGTCGGTGCCGACGCCCCCGGAGCCCCCGGAGCCGGACGCCGCGCGCAGCAAGCCCTACACCTGCGAGCGGTGCGGCCGCGGCTTCGACTGGAAGTCGGTGCTCGTCATCCACCACCGCGCGCACCAGGGCGGCCCGGGCGCCCCGAGGCCGCTGCAGGGGCCCCGGCGCTACACGTGCGCCGAGTGCGGGCGCGGCTTCAGCTGGAAGTCGCAGCTCGTGATCCACCGCAAGAGCCACGCCACCCGCCAGCGCCACGTGTGCGGGGACTGCGGCCGCGGCTTCGACTGGAAATCCCAGCTGGTCATCCATCGGCGGGGCCACCGGCCCGGGGACCCGTGAGCGGGAGGCGGCGGCTCCCCTCCGGCCTCGGGGCCTCGGGGCCTGGACGCAGCCTGCTGGCCGCCGCCTGGAGGACCCGGGGGCAGCCGGGGGCGCAGGAGCGGGGCGAGTCCCCGGGAAGGTCCTTCCCCGAAAGCCACCGGCGCCGAAAGCCCGCTGCCCCTCCCTGACCTGGGGCCTGGGCAGCCGGGGTGACTCCCGGCTCCCTTCTCCCCACGGGTGACTGACGGAGGCTGACGGCGCTCCTGCCCCGGGACCTGCCAGCCCCGGTGAGATGCTCAGAAACCCCCTCCTCCCTCCGCCCTGGGCGGGGCCGGTCTCCCCTGGAAGATGCAGGAGCCCCGGAGGCAGGGCCGCTGTTGCCGGGGAGGGAGCCGCCCGCTCCCCGCGGCTGTGGGTTTGGGATGAATCCGCTTTCCCCGTCGGGAGGTTTCTGGCAGCGACCCTGGCCTCTGGCTTCTGCTGGTCAGACGGTCAGCGGCTCCTCCTCCCGCCCGGCAGCTGGGGCCACAGAGCCCCGAACCGAACTGTGAGCCGGCTCCGAGCTCCTGGTCCCGCCTTCCCTGCTCCCAGGCGGCCCCGGCTCCTCCGCCCTGCTGACCTTGGGCTCCGGAGTCCCAGCTTGAGCGGACACCGAGGGGACTTACTTTTTAAAAATTGACTTTAAAGAGAAGGGGACGGAGAGAGAGACATCAAGTTGCTGTGCCACTTACGGGTGCATTCACCGACTGGTTCCTGTGCCTGGGCTGGGGATCGAATCCAACCCTCCCCTGTCAGGGACAACACTCCACCAACTGAGCTACCGGTTAGAGCAGGGACTTCTTTTTTTTTTTTTTGTTTCCTGTGACACGCTTATTTATTTATTGCCTATCTCATGTTATAGAACATCTTGTTTAAGCTCTAAAGTTTGTTTTTTTTTTGTCTAAAGTTTTACATTTGTCTCCTTTTTCTCCAATTGACCCCACTGCCCCCAGCCATTCCCACCCTGGCCAGCCCCTACCGCCCCCGTGTCTGTGTCCATTGGTGATGCTGATGTGCATGCATACAAGCCCTTGGTTGCTCTCTAACACCCCTCCCCTGCCTGGGGATCTGTTCTTGTTCATCAGTTTATGTTGCTCATTATACCCCACACATGGGTGAGATCATGTGGTGTTTATCTTCCTCCGACTGGATTGTTTCACTCAGCATCGTGCTGCCCAGTCCCAGCAGGGCCTCCGTTAAGCACGAGTAGGAAGGGGCTCTGAGGACAAGTCCCTTCGGCCCGCTCAGCTGCAGGTCTGGTCTGTGCCCCCACAGCCCATGCAGTTGGTCAGCGGAGAGCAGGAGAGCGAAGGGCCAGCTGCCTGCTGCCCACGGAGACACAGCTGGGTTCCTTGGCAGGCATTCCGATGTTCCTCAGTGCACTTACTAGTTTCAACAAGGGTGGGGGCTCCAGACAACACACATTTGTTTCCTCATGACTGTGAAACAGCTTCACTGAGTTAAATCAAGGTGTAATCAGGGAAGGCCACTCCTGGAGGCTCTAGGGGGAAAATCCATTTTATTGCCTGTTTTCAAAAATCCTCACCAATTTTCCTATTGATTTTCAGAAAGAATGGAGGGGGGGGGGGCGGGAGAGGGAGACAGAGAGAAACATCAATGTGAGAGAGACACATTAATTGGTGTCTCCTACATGTGCCCCAATCGGGGCTGGAGATTCAATTGACCAGAATTGAACCTTCAACCCTTCAGTCCTCGGGCCAACGCTCTAACCACTGAGCTAAACTGGCAAGGGCCATTTTATCGCCTTTTCCAGCTTCAAGAGGCTGCCTCATCCCTTGGCCCTTTTCTTCCACCTGCAAAGCCAGCAGTGCTGGTGACGTCTCTCTTGTGCTGCGTCCCTCCAGCTCTGATCCTCCTGCCTTCTCCTTCGATCAGTGGTTCTCAGCCTTGGCTGCACATTAGAATCACCTGGGAATCTCTTTAAAATCCTAATTTCTGGGCCTCATCTTCCGGAAATTCTTTCTTTGTTACTAATATTGTGGCCCCACCCCATAACAAAGAAACAGAATTTCCATAGGAGGCCCAGAAATCAGGATTTTGAAAAGATTCCCAGTTGATTCTAATGTGCAGCCAAGGCTGAGAACCACAGCCTTAGACCCTTGCGGTTGCATTTAGCGCTCACCTGGTGAGTGGTCATCATCCCTGTCTCAGGATCCTGAGGCATCTCTTTCTGTCCTCACCTGATTCATCTACAGGATCCCTTTGGCATGTGAGTAACACCCACCGTTTCCAGGGATTAGGACATGCATGTCTTTGGAAGACATTACCTTCTCCAGCTACTTCCTACTTTGAAAATAAGGCGCATCTTTGTGGGGGATAGTGTCCAGGAAACAGGCTCACTCCACGAAGGAGCCCTCCCGGGGCCGGGTGTGGCTCAGTGGTTGAGCACCGACCTGTGAACCAGGTTGTCACGATTCCATGGTTCCATTCCAGGTCAGGGCACATGCCTGGGTTTCAGGCTGGATCCTCAGGGCAGGGCAGGAGGCAGCCAATCAATGATTCTGATCATCGATGTTGCTATTTCTCCCTCTCCCTTCCTCTCTCTGAAATTTCAAAACCACAAAATAAAAGGAAGGAGCCTCTGCAGCCTCTGACACATGCAGGGGCAGCGGGGTGCGACATGGCGACGGGGGGATGGCCTGGGCAGGGCAGGACCTGGCTGCAGCCCGGAGCTGGGAGCGGGCGGGGGCGCCTCCGCCACCCCCAGAATCCGAGGGCCTTCCGACCCGGGGCTCACACTGGGCCTGCGGCCGCGTCGGGCTGGAGATGGAGCGGTTACAGGTGGGCAAGCGGGCGAGATCCGCAGGGGGCGTGACGAGGACGGTGGGTCCCCGGTCCCTGGTGGGTCCAAGGTCCCTGATGGGCCTCAGGGGATTCCCGTGGCCCTGGGTGGTCGCTAGTCCCTCGTGGACCCCCTCGTTCCTGGTGGATTCTGACAGCAGCTCCGACTCCACATGCCAAGAGCGAGGAGCGTGGACGTCCGCTGGCCTCTGTCTGCAGCTCCCACAATGCTCCAGGCCACACTTCAGGACTGTGACGGCACTCCTTACGTCACCAAGACCTCATACGTCATAGAGGCCTCGACGTTCCCTGGCCTCTGCCCGCAGCTCCCACAATTCCCCGGGGAACACATTCAGACCTGGGGACCCTTTGGAGGCCTCTGCGCTGGGGGCTCCTTTCTCGTGACCTCTTGTCTGCAGCGCCCACTGCGCCCCGAGGGCACGTCCGGTTGCAGACACTGCAGACCCTGACCTCAGAGGCCTCTGTGCCCGCCCCTCTCCCCCCTTTTCTTCCTGCTCAACCTTCGAGCCTCAGTCCAGCGCCTGCACGCCTGCCCGGGCCGGTCGCCCTCATAGTTCGGCTCAGTTGGCTGAGTGTCTTCCCTGCACCTGAAGGTCGCTGGTTGGAGTCAGACACATGCCCGGGTTGGGGTTAGGTGCCGGTTGGGGTGCATGCGGGAGGCAACCGATTGATCTCTCTCTCTCCCTTCCTCTCTCTCTGAAACCAATAAAAACATTTTAAAAAGAAAGAGGCTTCCAAAACGAGAGGAAACTAGCGTTTATTTGAAAATTAGGCCGGGGAGGGTGGATAACTATTCCTGAAGTACTGATTCAGGCAGATGCCCAAGAGTGTTCTGATCAGGAGACAGAGGCCAGGGAAATTCGTGAGAAAGGGCAGGGGCACAATTACATCCATAGACGGAAGGCAGCGCTGTTGCTTTTCACTTTTCAGTTCCGTAGCCACCAGTCCACTGGTCGTAATGCTTTCTTGTTATTCCTGCAAACAGCTCTTCAGGACACAAGGTCGATCAGGCCCCGTCTTCACAGTCAAAAGGCTTGAGACGTGAGACCTGCACGGTCGCTCCTCTGGCACAGCAGCTGCAGCTCGATTGCAAAGTGCTCCCGTTTATTATTGCTTTTTGGCAGCGGCCAGCGTTGGCCTGGCCCCTTCACGTGCCCCGTCACCGGCCAGCCGTTCAGAGTTTCCAGGTGCCCTCGCAGACGGCCCGGTACGTGTCCTGTGTCAGCGGCCGGAAGGTCTGGGCCTGGCCGTCCAGCACGAACAGCGAGTCCGCGATGGCGCCCACGTCGAAGCCCTCACGCACCAGCCGGGACTTGACCAGTTTGAAGGTGTTGGTGATCTCCAGGGTGTCCTGCAGGGGCGGGACTGCAACTCCACCCGCGACTCCCACGGCCACAACCTCCCGCCTCCCAGCCACGGGTCCCCCCGCCCCCCAGCTCACCTGGATGCGGATGAAATGGGGGACCGCGTAGGCCGGGAGCCACGTGCGGACGTGTTGGTACAGCTTCTGCCCGTCGAAGGCACGGCCGGGGGCCAGCTGCACAGCGGCCATGCCCACCTTGCCCTCACACCCTGGAAGCGCACACGCCAGGCACGCTCAGCTCCCCCCGCGCTCGCATCAGGACAGCGCACCTCCACCCGCACCGCACCGCTGCTGCCGGTTTAGATGAGGGGCGCCCTCCGCACCTGGCACGGACACGCCGTAGACGTTCACCTGCTGCAGGAAGTCCACGAGTGACAGCACGCCCTCCACCTCCCGCGTGGACACGTTCTCACCCTTCCATCTGCGGGTGGGAGCAGGTGCTTGAGAGCACGCCCCTGGTGACGAGGGGGCACCGCCCCTTGACCACCAAGCCCCGCCCCCAGGATACGAAAACCCCGCCTCTTTACTCGGCCTCCCTGTAGGATCTGAAAGCCCCGGTAGCCCCGCCTCCTAACCCCGCCCCGAAGCCCCGCCCCTGAATCTGAAAGCCCCGCCTCTTTACTCGGCCTCCCTGTAGGATCTGAAAGCCCTGGTGGCCCCGCCCCCAAACCCCGCCCCCGGAATCTGAAAGCCCGGCCTCCCTATAGGATCTGAAAGCCCCGGTGGCCCCGCCCCTGAAATCTGAAAGCCCCGCCTCTTGGCCTCCCTATAGGATCTGAAAGCCCTGGTGGCCCCGCCCCCTAAGCTCCGCCCATGGAATCTGAAAGCCCAGGGCCCCGCCTCCAAGCTCCGCCCCAGAAGCTCCGCCTCCCTCTAGGATTGGAAAGTCCCGATGGCCCCGCCCCTAAGCCCCGCCCCTGTAATCTGAAAGCCCCGGGGCCCCGCCCCGAAGCCCCGCCCCCGAAGCCCCGCCCAGCACCGGTAGGTGTCCCCGAGGCGGTCGTGGAAGTAGAGGAAGCCTTCGCGGTCCACGGACAGCACGTCCCCGGTGTTGTAGTAAATGTCGTCCGCGCGCCGCACCTTCCGCACCAGCTTCCGTTCCGACAGCTCGCGGGGCCCGCGGTAGCCCAGGAAGGGGTTGCGGCCCAGCACCCGGGTCAGCAGCAGCCCGGGCTCCCCTGGGCGGGAGCGGGAGCGGGAGGCGGGCGTGAACCGGGACAGGCCTCTCGGAGCCCACGGCCCGCGCCCGAGAGTCCAACAAGGTGGACTCCACCTTCCGGACCCTCAGAGGGGAGACACCCAGCGATGGAGACGGGGAGATCGGAATCGGGGAGACAGACCCAGGGACAGGGAGACGGAGAGGAGGGACAGACGGAGAGAGAGGGTGGCATGGGGAGCCCATTAAACATGGGAAAAGGAAAAAAACTAAAAAATAAAATAAGGTAAAATTAAATTAATAAAATAAAACAATGCCGTGACTGGTTTGGCTCAGTGGATAGAACGTCGGCCTGCGGACTGAAAGGTCCCGGGTTCGATTCCGGTCAAGGACATGTACCTTGTTTGCGGGCACATCCCCAGTAGGGAGTGTGCAGGAAGCAGCTGATCGATGTTTCTAACTCTCTATTCCTCTCCCTTCCTCTCTGTAAAAAATCAATAAAATATATTTTTAAAAAATAAAATAAAATAAAACAAATAGGAAAAGGATGCCCGGCCGGCGTGGCTCAATGATTGAACCAGGAGGTCAGGGTTCGATTCCCGGTCGGGGCACCTGCCCGGGTTGTGGGCTCGATCCCCAGTGTGGGGCCTGCAGGGGGCAGCGGGTCAGTGATTCTCATCATTGATGTTCCTCTCTCTCTCTGCCTCCCTCTCTGAAATCAATAAAAATATGTTTAAAACTAGGAAAAGCATAACAAGGGATGGTTGAGGAATGGAGACAAATGGTGGGGATAGAAGCGGGTGTGGCCAGGAGAGAAGACCCCCCGAGGGGAAGGTGGGGGAGGTGGGTGCCTGGGAGGCGGAGAGAACGGGCCCCGCGGGCACCCGGAGGCTCAGCAGAGAGAGGCTGCGGCCGGGGTGCCCGTGAGAACCGAGAGCTGAGAGGCCGGGGGCCCCGGACAGTGGCCGGACGACGGACGGATGGGGACCCAGGGTCGGGTGAGAGCTGCAGACACCCCCGCCCAGCACGACCTCCGGCCGCGGAGGAGACGGGTCCCCGCTTCCCAGGAGGGTCCCCCGGTACCTGGCCCCACGGGCACGCAGAAGCCCGCTCGGTCCCGCACGGGCTCCGCCGCCTCCGTGTCGAACTGCACGAGCTCGAAGGGGGACAGCGCCTGCGGTGGGGGGGGGGCGTCAGGGGCTCTGGGCGCTCAGCTCCCCGCGGGGTCCGGGCCGCCCCGACCCACTCACGCGGAGGAGGCAGCTGGTCTTGCCCACGGCCCCGCGGCGCCCGGGGTAGTTGACGAAGCCGGTGTTGCCTTCCGTGGAGCCGTAGACTTCGAAGATCCGAATGGGCCCGAAGCGTCGCTGGAAGGCCTCCCACACGTCCGCGCGGAGCCCGTTGCCAAACGCCAGGCGGACGGTGTGCGTCCGGTCCTCTGGTCGCTGCAGAGATGCCCCAGGAGGGTCAGGAGGAGGTGCCCTCGGTCGGTGGGGGGTGCCCTGGGCCTTCCCTGGGCGCTATCTCTGGGCCTTACCTGAGGAGTCACCTGGGAGGTATATGCCCAGGGGACCTACCAGGGGTGCTCACTTGGGATTCGATATCTGGCATCTGTACTTGGAGGATTACCTGCAGATACTACCTGGGGGCCTCACCTGGAGGGATGCCTAGGGTAACTGACTGGAGGCCTCACCTGGGGTCTCATGTGGGGATAGACACCTGGAGCTGTAGCTGGAGGCGTTCGTTCGGGGCCTTTACCTGGAGGTAACCTGGGGGTGATTTGAAATCTTGGGGGGTTACAAGGGGCCTTACTCGGGGGCGTTACCTGGGGACCTTGCCTGGAGATAGTTACGGGGTAACTCATTGTACGGATGAGGCTGCGCCCCTCTAATGGGTTTTCCCTGAGCCGCACTGTGTTCTAGGCACTTTGCACGTTTAGTTCTCACAATATCCCCTCGGATGTTACCCCCGATTTCCAAACGAGGACCCTGAAGCTGAGAGCGGTGAAGTCAGCTGCTCAAGGCAGCTCAGGGGATCATCCAAGAAGCCAGGATTGGGTGATCATTGTACGTGGCTCTGGTCTGGGATGTGTTACCTGAGCGACTGGCTTGAGTCCTGTACCCGAATATACCTGAGACCTTTACCTGGTGTGACAGCTGCAATTTAAATTATATCTTTATTTATTTCAGAGAAGAAGGGAGAGGGAGAGAGAGAGAGAAACAGAAACATCACTGATGAGAGAGAATCATTGATCAGCTGCCTTCTGCAGGTGGGCATGTGCCCTGACTGGTGACCTCCTGGTTCATAGGTCAAGTCTCAACCACTGAACCATGTTTTGTTTTTGGTTAATCCTTACCTGAGGAGGATATTTTTTCCATTGCCTTTCAGAGAGAATGGAAGGGAGAGAAGGGGAGAAAGAAAGAGAGAGGAGAGAGAGAAATATTGACGTGAGAGAGACACATTGATTGGGAGACACATTGATTGGTTGCCTCCCGCACGTGCCAGGACCTGCAACCCCACGTCCGTGCCTTTGACTGGGAGTCGAACCCGCAACCCTTCAGTGCATGGGCCAACGCTCTAACCACCGGTCGACGCTGCCCAGGGTGACAGCTGTGGTTTTACACCGACGGTGTTCACCTGGAGCCCTCGCCAGGCGCCTCACCTGGGGAGCGTTGCACAGGTACCGCAGAACCTCGCCCACATACTGGATCACAGTCACTCGGTGCCGTCGACAGTCCTCCCAGAAGCAGGAGGCGGAGAACTTGGGGGCCAGGACACAGGTGGCTCCTGGGAGGGGGGAGAGGAACGGGTTCAGGCCCTGCTTCCAGCCTCCGTGAGAAGCTGCCTTGATCGGTGGGTGGCCCCTGAAGCACAGGGTGATCCCGGGCTCCTCCCTGGTCCAGCCAGGCATAGGCGGGCTGGGCCTGGGTTCAGATCCTGCTGCCAGAATGTGTGGGAAGCTTGGTGCCCAACCCAGTGCGCACGGCTCAATAAAGGCTGTGAGCATCAGTTGTTCTTGATTATGATAAATACTAGAGGCCTGGTGCACGAATTCGTGCACCAGTGGGATCCCTCGGCCTGGTCTGTGGAATCAGGTCGAAACCGGCTCTCTGACATCCCCCAAGGGGTCCCAGATTGCAAGAGGGCACAGGCCAGGCTGAGGGACCCCACCGGTGCATAATTGGGGCCGGGGAGGAACCACAGGAGGGCTACAGGGTGTGCCCGGCCCCATCTTGCCCAGTCCAGATCAGGGCTGGCCGGCCGGGGAGGGACTTGGGAGGTTGGCCAGCCAGAAAGGAACCGCAGGAGGGCTCCAGCACGTGTCCAGCCCGTCTCACTCAGTCACAAAAGCTAACCTACTGCTCAGAGCGTCTTCCCCCTTGTAGTCAGTGCACATCATAGCAACTGGTCGACCGGTCACCTGTCTGCCCCCTGGTGGTCATTGTACATCACAGCGAGCAGTTGAGCGGCCTTACCATATCATTAGCATATTATGCTTTGATTGGTTGAATGGTCGACCGGACACTTAGCATATTAGGCTTTTATTATATAGGATTTTATGAATGTTTCTCAGAGCAGATGGATAGGTGGGTAGATAGGTAGATGGAAAATTAAGTGGGTGGGTGTTTGGAAGGGCGCTCACATGGGTTAATTATCCCTGCACCCAAAGATCTCTTGTGAGCTTGGTTAGTGGCAGTGGTGTCTTCTTTGACGCTGTGTTTTTGACAGGGAGGTAACATATAGAAGGGGTGCTGGGTCCTTGGAAAGGACACCCCCCAGGTTCCTGCCAAGAATTATTTATTTATTTTTAACCTTCACCTGAGGATATTTTTTCCATTGGTTTTGAGAGAGAGAGGAAGAGAGAGGGACAGACAGACAGAAACAGAGACGACATAGGGCCCCGGCCCGGGGAGGAGCCTACAACTGAGGTACCTGCCCTTGACCAGAATTGAACCCGGGACCCTTTGGTCCCCAGGTCGATACTCTATGCACTGAGCCAAACCGGCTAGGGCTCGCCAGGAATACTTTAGCTGAAGGCCCCGGCTGGGTAGCTGACTTGGTTAGAGCGTCGTCCCAGTAGGCCAAGCGTGACTTGGTTAGAGCGTTGTCCCAGTAGGCCAAGCGTGAGGGTTTGATCCTCGGTCAGGACACACAAGAATCAACCAGTGAATGCATAAATAAGTGGAACAACAATCTCTCTCTCTCTCTCTCTCTCTCTCTCTCTTTCTTTCTCTCAAGAAAAACAAAGAACAAAAGAGTAGTTGAACTGAATGTACCAACAGCTCTAGAGGGAATTTCCAGTCTAACTGGTCACAGAGGAACAGAGACCAATGAGGAGACTAGCAATAAAAAGACAATTTGGTAATTGGGGAAATCTGAACAGGAAGTGCACATCAGGTGATACGGGAGTTGCTGTTCACTTAAGTCCTTGTATGTTAGAGATTCCTACTGCAATAGTTACAAGGGAAACGATTTGTTCTAAAATAATCCAGAAGGAGAGAAGTGCATATGAAATAAAACTGGCAACATGGTAATTGTGGAGGCTGGGTGAGTACACTGGGGACTTCATCAAACTCTTTGCTCTACTCTTGTGTATGTTTGAAATTGCGCATGATCTAAAAAAATACACAAAACAACCTTTTAAGCCCTAACTGAATAGCTCAGGTGGTTAGAGCGTCATCCTGATAGCTCAAGGTTGACGGCTGGATTCCCAGTCAGGGCACAGACAAGAAGCAACCAATGAATGCATAAGTAAGTGGAACAACAAATCAATGCTTTGCCGTGGCTGGTGTGGCTCAGTGGATGGAGCGTTGGCCTGCGGACTGAAGGGTCCCAGGTTCAATTCCCATCAAGGGCATGTACCTTGGTTGCGGGCACATCCCCAGTGGAGGGTGTGCAGGAGGCAGCTGATCGATGATTCTCTCTCATTGATGTTTCTAACTCTCTCTCCCTCTCCCTTCCTCTCTGTAAAAAATCAATAAAATATATATATATATTTTTAATATATTTTATTGATTTTTTACAGAGAGGAAGGGAGAGAGATAGAGAGTTAGAAACATCGATGAGAGAGACATCGATCAGCTGCCTCCTGCACATCTCCTACTGGGGATGTGCTCGCAACCCAGGTACATGCCCTTGACCGGAATCGAACCTGGGACCTTTCAGTCCGCAGGCCGACGCTCTATCCACTGAGCCAAACCGGTTTCGGCAATATTTTTAAAAAACACAAAAGCATGACCATGGAAAGGCCCCAGGTGGCTTCCTAGTCAGGTGTCCACGGAGGCGGCCAGAGCAGTGTTTGCTGGGCACACCCTCACTGACACGAGACCTCACACAGCTCTGCCACCTCCTGACCACAACACAGCCCTGGGGAACCACCCGGGAGCCCGCCCCTCTGTCCAGGGGTCCTGGGGGTCCCTGCCGTATGCTCCTTGTCCCAGGTGAGTACCCAGGGTGCTGGGCGACCTGTGAGGCCTTGTCACCCCGACACCCAGCCTGCACCCCCGGGCACAGGAGGCGTCCCCAGGGGAGGGCTTACCGAGCTCCAGGCAGCCGAGCACCCCGAGGACCAGGCCCATTGCGTGGTACAGGGGCAGGACGGAGTAGACCACGTCGTCAGCCGTGACCCCGCTCAGGGACAGCATCCTGATCATCTGCAGCACCCGCTCGTGCGTGAGGATGGCCGGCTTCGGGAGCCCTGGGGGATGGAGAGTGGGAGGGTGGGGGGCGGGCAGGGCTGGGTCTCCATGGGGGTGGGGTGGGTTCAAGGAGGTCTGGTTGGGTTTGGGGTTCAGAGGTCGAATCCCAGAGCTCCATTAGGGCCTCAGCGGCTGCCCGCTAGGAAAAGGCAAGATTCTGGCCCTGATCCCTCCCATGACATTTCGGGGCAGAGTCCAGGGCACATGTCCCCATCGAAGCGCAGCCTGTGTTTTGGAGGCTGGGCTGGGGGTCAGGTCAGGGTGAGAGGTCAGAGGTTGGTTGGGGCGAGGGCTGCCGGGTGCCCTCACCGGTGGTCCCCGAGGTGTAGATGAACAGGGCAGGGCTCTTCCGTGTGATGCCCGCGCGCAGGTCAGCGGGCACGGGGTCCAGGGGCGCGGCGTCCAGCGCGGGCTCCAGCGCCTCCACCCCCGGCGTCGGGGAGGTGAGGCCGAGGTAGAAGCAGCGCACGTGCTCCGCCTGCAGCTGCGGGAGGATCTCCTCCAGGTTCTCGCGGAGGTCTGCAGGGACGGACCGGAGGGGAACCTGAGGCAAGGCCCCCCTTCCAGGTGGCGAGGGGAAACCCGAGGCCGCAGAGGGTGCAGCCGGCAGAGGGCGCTTCTGCACTTTTGTAAAGAACCGCATGGCCCGACCGGTGTGGCTCAGTGGATAGAGCACCGGCCTGCGGACCGAAGGGTCCGGGTTCGATTCCCGTCAAGGGCAGGTACCCTGGTTGCGGGCTCCTCCCTGGCCGGACCCTGGTCAAGGCACGTGCAGGAGGCAACCAATCTCCTCCACTCTCCCTAAAAATCAATGGGAAAAATATCCTCCGATGAAGATTATAAAAAAAGGTTAGTGTTGGCAAAAAGGATTGAAATAGCCACGGCGCAGAAGAAGGAGCCCAGCCGGCATGGCTCGGTGGTTGAGCGTTGACCTGACCTATGAACCAGGAGGTCACGGTTAGATTCCCGGTCAAGGGCACCTGCCCGGGTTGTGGGCTCCACCCCCAGTTTGGAGCGTGCAGGAGGCGGCCGATCCATGATTCTCTCTCATGGATGTTTCTCTCTCCCTCTCCCTTCCTCTCTGAGATCAATAAAAATATTTTTTTAAAAAAGAAAAAAAAAAAAGGAAAAAGCAGCCCTGACCGGTGTGGCTCAGTGGATAGAGCGTCGGCCTGTGGACTGAAGGGTCCCGGGTTCGATTCCGGCCAAGGGCATGTACCTTGGTTGCGGGCACATCCCCAGTAGCAGGTGTTCAGGAGGCAGCTGATCGATGTTTCTCATCGATGTTTCTAACTCTCTATCCCTCTCCCTTCCTCTTTGTAAAAAAATCAATAAAATACTTAAAAAAAAAAAAAGGAAA